TAGGGGATACTTTGCATATTAGCCTTTTATATATATAGAAGGTATTGTTATGTATACCTCTAATATATGTACCTTTAATTCCTGAACCATTTAAAGGTTCTATGACCAATCAACTTGCTTCTTCATGGATGTTCTAGCTGAGGGATTCAATTTCCACTTTCTTGGGTCTGTTAAATCTGATTGGTTAACATTCCTTTATCACCTTTCTTTATTCTAGAGTTTTATCTTTTATCTTCTCTACTTCCTCTTGCATTCACTAAAAATGGCTTTATATTTTTAGTCCCTTTGAGTGAGTAAATGAAGGAATGGAAATTAACAGGTGTAAATGGCATTGTTAAAAAGCAATACTGTTCATGTTTCTTCACATTTTCCTACCCCAATTCAGAAATTTGGGGTCAAACTTTGAGGGTGCCCTCCTTCTCAATCCTAAACCCTAAAGAATTTGTTGGTTCAAAATTCCAAAAAAAAAGAAATAAACTCATAAGGGTTCTTTTTCAAAAAGTATTCCTTAATTTCTTAGTCAAGAAAGAACTAAGTAATAAAGATTACTCACAAAAACACCTCAACCTTCTATAGAGAGATGGCAAAGCTTGAGCAAGGAAAATCCTAACTATGAAAGGCAAACTCTGGACATCACATACTCACAACTCTTAAAGAGCAAGGAGAGCTGAAACCTTCTTAATAGCACCTGGATGACTGACAATGATGACACCCAATTACATCTCCTTTAATATAGAACATTGAGAGCTGTGCTACACTTTAAACAAGTAGTAAGCATGCATAATTTCTCCAAAGAGGAAAAACTAAGAGACATTCTACGCTTCCATTTCCTTTCCTTATTTGAACTTGCATAATTTATCTCAGGGGATGAAATAGCCTAGGCCTTTTAGCACCAGGCTGTAGGGAAAACTATCAGCCATGTATGGATCCCAACTCTTACCAAGAGAATGGCTTCCATTTGGCAAGTAGCTTAGAAGCACCAATACATACACTCCTGTAATGCAAGGTTTGCAAGGATTTCCTGAAGCATACCCCAAATATAATATTCCATAGTTCTTCATGCATTGTAATAGTGAGAAAAATGAGCCCTGATATATTTCAAAAGGGAGGTTTTGATTCGTTACCATTAGGATTTATGACTGCTGTTATCAATTAAATAAAAATGGAAAACAAATATTGCCTTCTTTTCCATAAACAAGGCCTTCCAAGAACATTATTTTACTTTAAAAGTTGGCTTTATTTTATTTGTATTTTTTTAGTACCTATCTCAGGCTGCCTCCAAGTTAAGATGCAAACCTGCAAACCAATACATAAGTTTTCCTAGAAAAAAAGTTAAATGTCAAAATACACTCCCTTACATCTAATTACTAAATAGACAAAACTCCTGCTGGCCAAGATCCATTCTGTTCCGTAAGATTACCTGTATAAACGAGCTACTGTCACAATGTCTGTCACACCAGAATATTGTAGGTGCCTGGCCCATACAATGGTTTCAAAGAACCCACCCTCCAGTACCAAGAGAAATGGAACACTACAGACGGAAGCGCGGAAGCACTTGGAACTGTTTCAATGTTTTTATGAGTTTCAGATATAACCACAGGGCAGATTACATGAATCAAGGGTGATTAGGGCTCTTTACAGTTCCATTTTCCAAATGACAATATTAAAAAAGTAAAATAACAATATGCAAAGCAACTTGGGCCCCCTGGCTTCTTCCCTGTGTGAGAGCATTTGACTAGAATCTCACTAACTTCCTTTTCCTTAAAGCTGCCAGCAGAGGCCATGCTAAAAGATGCCATCTATCTTTAATTCAAACATCTCACGTCAATCCAAGCTTTAAAATGCTATCATAGCGTGGACCCTTGCAATCCCCGTGTTCCCCCCTCCAGCCTCACCCCACGCTCCCGCACATTCATTACTCGATGCTAAAAACAAGGCTAATAAAATAGCATACCCCTCTTTTCATCTCCTTAGCTCCACACTACAGCTCCTCTAATCCTCTTCATCCCATCCCTCTCTCCTTCATTTCCCCACCTAGCTAATCAGCCCATCTTCCTAATAAAATAAGGCATGTGCTGGCCTCAAAGTAGAAGCCTTAAATCTGTTTCATCCATTAAAATACTTAAAAATCAGCCCAGTGTGGCTCAGCGTGGATCTATGAACCGGACGGTCACGGTTCCATTCCCGGCAGGGCACATGCCCAGGTTGCAGGCTGATCCCCAGTGTGCGGGGGCCTGCAAGAGGCAGCCCATTGTTGATTCTCTCTCATCACTGATGTTTTTGTCTCCCTCTCCCTCTCTCTTAAAAAAAGCCTTGGATTAAATTCTCCGCAGTCCACCTCCAACACCTAGTAATCAGCAGTGTATCTTCTATGGATCGCTCAGTTGGCCTTGGTGAACGCATGGGTAGAACGAATGCGCACAGGCCGGCGCGCATGCGCCACAGGGAGAAAGCCTAGGCATGGGAAGGCGAGAACGTGCGAGGCTGTAGGAGGGACAGGCAGGGATAAGGGGACTCCTGGCCCAGCTTCTCCTCCTTGGGCCACAGGGGCCACAGGTACAACTAACGTCCG